ATATAAAGGAGGAATGGGAGGATGTGTTTTTCAGTTGTCTTGACAGTTTCGGGATAACATTCATTATGCACGCATCACGTTCGGTCACGTGTAAAAAAATGCATAAGGTCTATCTCTTGGCATTTTATTTTTAGGCATGTGCAGTAACTACTGCATGTGTTCACCATGGAACTTCACTCCGCGGATTTGAACTGACCCGCCAGACGGCATAGCGCACACTGGAGTACACCCTGCCTAGGTAGGGTGTACTCCTGGAGTACGATTTTGGGGGAGTACGCTGTGCCGCCCACACCGGCTAAAAGCAATACTGCATAAATTATATTTCTAATGGTTGGCTGTGAATTGGAATTGCAAAAAAAGCGCGAGGGTTCGACCGAATTGCGAATCTCGGCATTTCCAATGGGTATTGTTAGGAATTTCATATCAGTCCAGGAAAAAAAATCAGTTCACCAGCTGGTTTGTGAATTCTACGGTTTTTGTATTTTTCAAGAAGCGCGTTCATCTTGGACTTCGTAACAATTAATGGGTTCAGAACTGCAAAAATTAAATTTTCGCGCATTGTCAAAATTTTTATGTAATGGTTGTTGAAAAGGCAAATGCATGAAAATTCGCAGTAACGAGCGTATTTTTCTAAAGAGGGATTAAGCTGAGAACAACCCCGCTTTATTTGACGGGAATCAAATTACTTCTGCATCAAGTTTGAAAATGCATGCGCTCTATAATCCCTATGAGAAAAGTTGTTGTTCTGAATTTATTTCGCAAAGCAGTTTCATGCAAATGATTGACGCATCCAACGTGCATTTTTATGATCAATCTCAGCGAGTCATCAGCTCATTGCGGACCGTTCGAGGGAGAATTTACATCCTCTGAAGGCCGGTTATATGAGGAAATTCTTCGAGGATTTTTTTTCCTAGTGTTTCGTGGTTATATAAAGGAGGAATGTGAGGATGTGTTTTTCAGTTGTCTTGACAGTTTCGGGATAACATTCATTATGCACGCATCACGTTCGGTCACGTGTAAAAAAATGCATAAGGTCTATCTCTTGGCATTTTATTTTTAGGCATGTGCAGCTAACGCGTTAATTCTAGAACCATTTTTGCAGGAAATGAGATTTGCCTTCTTCATCAGTTTACTGTCAAATACTGAATGTCAAGTAGGAATTTCGTTGGTCTTTATTTTCTAATAGCTACGAAATTCGTGGATGACGCTTTTAATTTTTGTAATTTTGGAAATTATTTTATAGAATCTTGAAGATTGAAAGTTTGAAAAAATTATAAATCAGGGCCGAAAATTTTCGGGCTAGATTGAGAACCTTTGGGATTTGTATGCGACTAGCGGACATCGATTATTAAGGGGAAGGTTAACTTTGAAATTAAGTTAGGGGGAAGGAAGAAAACATATTTTTCTGAGCTCGTTGAGGTTCATTTGGAATTTTAACAGCTTATAAAAATAAAAAAGGTACATTAATATGAGTATGTCGTATTTCATGAAGAAAAACAAGGCACACGTTGTCATGGGTAAGACTTTTTCATGTGTAAGATTGGACAGTTCTTGTTTCTTGAGGCGAATGCTCTTGAAATCTTCATTGAAAATAAGCGAATAAAAAGTTGGAAGGTGAAAGCGAACGATTTTGTATCTCTTCCATATGAAATGTATATGAAGAAAGTGTGGAAATGCATTTTGAAAATTGTTTTATTTTAATTTTACATACGGTATTTAGTGATACTGCATCTCATGAGCATTCTAAAATTTACTTTTTATATTTCGGGCCTTGCTTGTTCAGTGACGAATGTTTTCAGTCCGCATCAACAAAGTTTGTGGTTTCAATGTCCGCAATTTATTTTCCCAGCGTAATTTTTGTTTGACCGAGAATTGACGGATTTTTTAGCCATGGGCTCCGAAACGCTTTCATTTTTTTTGCGCGAATAAACCGAATTCGGCTCAAGAGAGAGGGGAAAAAAAAGAAGAGGGATCTAACGGTCGGGATGAATAGCGCCTGGAAAAAAAGATCCCGTGTGAAATCCAAACCTTGGGGCATTCCGATTGAGCTTGAAAAGAAAACGAAGCGAAGAAATAAGAGAAAGAATTCCTTTTTGCGCGTGCGATGGCCCCTTTGTACCGGCAACAACGGCCAGCGCGACGAATGACGTTGGCCACCCGACGACAAGGGTAGGGGGGAAAATGGGTCAGGGATGTGAAGGAATGAGGAAGGGGGGAATTTTTGCGTTTTTTACCGATCCTGAAAGCTAGTTGTTTGAATGCTGCAATGCGGGTTGAAACCGTTGCTGCGCGTTGTGACAGGGTAGCCTGGATTTATGGGAGGAACCCTGGGTATGGGGTTTTTTTTCTTCTTCTTCCCCTTGTGCTGCTGCTTCAGGTTTCACTGTCGGGCTTAGTGCAGAAATTTATTGCGCTTTCCGTAAGAGGCAAGAATTTTTTTTAAAGATTTTTTTCCCTCTACAATTCATCTGGGGTTTTGTGTCCCTGGCGGATCTGTTGCGATTATTTGGGTGAGGGACTACTGGAGAAAATATATATAGTGCTTTTTTTTTGCACGCGGGGTTTCGTTGTAAAATATTTTTCATTATCGGCGATGAGAAAAATCCCAGATAATCATTTCAGTTCTATCTGCAGAAATAAATTTCGTTTGTGTCAAATATTGGGCGGGAGAAAACTCATCATGCTGATTAAATTTTGGATCCACCCGCCTTTTTTTTCGTTTCATGCTGGAACGCATGAAGGCGTCTGGTTTCTTCGTTAAGGAAAACTCAGATGCACATTGTTTAAAGCGAGTAGGTAGTTTTTGTTTTGCCTAATTTTGCGTTCAACTTGGCGGAAAGTATGCGTTTTTCTTCCACTGCATCATTTTCGAGTGAGTTTTCAAGTTATCCGTCTGTAGACTTCGAGCATCAACATAAAGGAATTATAACGCATTGATTTCTCACTGATCTTCGGAACTTTCTCTCATGGTTGGGGAATTGCTCATTCAACTTTGATTCAGGATTGTTGACAAAGCTTGGATTTGTAGCTGATTCGTCGCCGTAACCCGTATTTATTCTTACTTTTGAGATCATAATTTAATGAGGACAGATTCTGTCACCCTCACGTATAGGTGTTGTCAAAACTCGGATTGCTTTTGAAATAAATGTAGTGCTTCGTAAAAGGCAGTTTTCAAGAGGGAAGAACGAGAGTTGTAAGTGCACCACATCACTGTCCAGAAACGAGGTTCGCCAGGGGCCCTCTCGGATCTTTAAAAACGAAATTGCAGTCAGTCTATCTGATATATTAAAGAATTGGAAATTCCTGATTGACCATGATGAACATCTTATGTTCTGAGCTCTTCTGCTCTTATGTTAGTGATGCTGAATGTGGAAGTACAGGATGTAGGAATGCAATAAAAAAAAAAATCTTTGGCGAATGAACTGATGCTTGCTGCAAGTCTCGTCATTGCTGATGCTACAATGGTTTTGAATATTGTCACCCACACAAAAACCCACTTGACCAAAAGAATACATTTCGAAGTAACTAGCGTATTGACAATACTTCAAAATCCCATGCGATTTCAAAAGAAAAGAAAAAAATGTCGGACACAGTCCTGCTTCCAAAATCTCCTTCCCCCCCCCCCCCCCCTCCACCTCCGAGAAAGGTATTCGTCATTAAACCACCACGCAAATGAATTCTTGAGCTCATCGGTCGGCACCATTCGGAGAAAATGCTATGAATTCGGTTTGCGGAGAAGGTTCGGTTTCTCCCAGGGTGCCTCGAGTGAGTAAGAAGGGAAGCTACATTTTAATCGCCAACGGTTTCGCAAAAGCGGGAAAATCCCACCGGATGTTCCGACCGAGGGAATGTCAGTGGTGCCCACCAACCCTTGAAAATACCCACCCGGTAGCGTCATGGGAGAGTAATGTGACGCAAGGGGGCCTCGAGTCGTCTTCGCCTCCTTGATGGATTAACGCGTGACACAATTCACTAACACGCGAATTTAATTATTGATGCTCTGTTTTCAAAAAGATAAAAAAAGAGCAATTAAATTGAAGCAACTGTGAGCAGAATTGTTTTTTAAAAAATCGTGCTTTGAGAGAGGAAAAATAGCGCGATAATAGCAATCGAAAACAACACAAGAATCTTTTCACTTTGCCAAAGTTTGCTAGAAAAAAATTAGGGTTCGTTTTGATATCATCTTATATATTTTTTAACGTTTCAGATTTGTTGGAAAAGTGTACGATTGCTTTTTACGTACCCAATCTTATGAGTAAAAATAAAATCTGAAATACAATTAGATTGACTCTCATCATCAAATTCTGATTTCTGATTTTTTTTGTTTGAAGTTTTTGAAGAAATTAGCCTGATAGCTGTGGCATGAGTTGAATCAATGGACTGATCCGATTCTGAAGAAATTTGTTGTCATGAAAATGCATCTGCCGTTCGCAGAAAAAGTGTCACGAATTTTTCAGGCACAAAAAATACAGGTGTGTCTTATAATCGATGGCCTCTTGTATTTGAGGTAAATATATTATTCAATTGTCAACGTTCTGCCTTCGAGGGAGAAAGAAAGCGGAGCGATCACCTTGAGATCATTTTGCGTACAACTTTTTTTAACTAGTAAAAAGTATATGGGAAAATGTGGAAAGGGGTTGTTGATTCCTCGGAAAAACACTGTAATGTTCCTGGGAAAATTTGTTCCTCAAGATGACGGGGAAGTACGCGATGAGAAACTCTTCAGATCTTCTCACGTTGAAATCTGTAATAATAAATATGTAGCTTTTACTGAGATTCCATTGAATAAGAAGCTGATCCAGATGAAGTATTTTTTCAAGAGTTTCTCGACCTGTGTGGTTTGTATTCCGGTGCTGATGCTGTGGTTGTGCCAGTTTATTTTTATTTTTTTTCAGTCCTGTTTCCTTCTTCCCATCTTCGCCTAATTTTGTTCTCCTATTTTTGTGCGAGATGAACTGGCTTCCTGAACGCGAGCAATGATTTATCATCTCTGAATTGATGTTCCCGCAGGTGCAAAATTACCTCAGTAACGTGCAGCTGTGATACGAAGGACATCTTCTGGTGCCAGCATGTCGTCGCCCTGGCCCTTTACAGGATCAGGAACGCGGAACGCGTCACGCTGCGCGTGCCCATATCTGGTGAGCACACCTGGGACTGGCGATTAAGTCGTGGGAGAAGTAACTGGAGAAGCTGCTTCGGTTTTGCGTTTCCCGGAGCCTGTGTGTGTGTGTGTGGTGTGCAAGGAGGACTTCTTCTTTCCTTTCTTTCTTTCTTTCTGTCCCTTCAATGTGTGTCTTATTGTACCTGGCTTTCTCCTTGATTCTTCACGTCGTCCTTCAGTTGATCTAGTGAAGAAATCGCTTCTGTTTGAGGATCTGCTTGAAAGATGATTACTTTCGAAGATTGAGGATGTGTGTGTGTGTGTGTGTGTGTGTGTTTGAAGTTGAAACCAAGCACTTTGCTGCATCGTTTGGCTAAGATGACGTGACCGACGTCGAAATCACGGATATGCCGGGGTACTCTCTTTTCAAGGAAATTCACGAGGAGATGAGAACCAAAGTCGTTGCGGAAAGAATTTCATGTTGGAGAACCTCTAATATTGGTAGAGACCCTATAGGACCAATATGAAATGGGATATGCAGACAAATTCAATGTAGACAAAATCGTAAAGAGAGTCTGTATCCAACTAACCGGGAAATAACAAGAAACTTTCAATATTTCTGAAATAGCAGATCATCTCTGTCGTTACAGTGTGTATTTTTCGCGGAATGCCTGGGGCAATCCAGTATAAGTGAAAGCCATACGAAACCGATAAATCACTCTTGTAATATAATATAATATAAAGAAATATAAAAGAAAAGTGTGTTCAAGGAAAAGCAAGCCTTTTCTTGTTCCGTTGTTCAAATGTAAATCTTAAAATCTAAAATTTGTGTTGAAATTGTCGAGAATTGAACTTTCTCTCGCACGAGAACGTATTTCGAATTACTGATACAATTTTTCTGTGCCGTAAATGTGCGGAAAATGGAAAATTTGACCGAGCTGACACCGGCATAATTGCCTTTTCTTTTCTTAATTCTTTTTTTCCATTTCATTTGTCAAAATCTTTCCTGCGCGCGGCTGACTCGAAAAAAATACCGTTTCAGAACCTGGGAATTAGAGAGAATCTGCTGGATAAAGTAATGCTGGAATAATTAACAGTTTTTCCCGTGTGCGTATTTCTCGTGGAAAACAGCCAGCAGTTTCAGCTTTCCAACTGTTACCCACTTCTCATGCGGATCTCACGCATTTTGCCGGCGGGCCCCATCCGTTTCACGATGAATTATCGAGGTTTTGTGTCACCTACTATTATTATGCGCGAATAAATTCACTAAATGCTGGAATAAAATTCGAAACGTGCATCCTCGTGTAACGCGGTCTTCTCTCGTCTCGTAATCGTCTCTGACGACGGCGAAAATATTTCGCCGTCACCGCTTTTTTTGGTAGGCGCAAAACAAATGTTCGTTTCTCAAAACAACGGTGGCCTCCCGGAGCCACGCATTTCCGCAAAATTAAAATAAAAACCGGTAATTTACGATTTGAAAGCAAAGCCAGATTAGAAAAATTCCTAATCCGGAGAATTCCGCTTTAAACTGTTGAATGAATGTATCTAAAAGCCTGAAAATGATGCTGTGCAATATAATCCTCCTTGATTAATTTATTTTCAATATAATGCCTTCTTTAGATGGGCTTTCAAGTTGATTGATTTCGCTTAGCCTAAACTAAAACGTTGTCAGACATTAATTGCAGCAATTGTTTTGCACTAGTGAATATGCGTTCAGAACTCCGGCGTCGCTTTTGATTCCCCGTACTGTATTTGTAAGCTCAGTAATTTCAACGTGCTAATGACGAATCCGACCTCGTGCGGTGGCAAAATTTTCAAATATTGATATGCAAATCCCGGCGAGCTTCTTAATTCGTTCTAGTCAATAATTTGGCATACACTTTTTTTATTCATCATTTCTTCCGCGAGACGTTTGACGGTTCCGCTTCCGTGGCATCCGTGGAATTTTCTTCCAGCTTATCCAGCGTGTGATTCGCGTGCATCGTTACGTGATGAGATGAAAGGAGGGTTAGGGGAACGTTTGAGGTTTGAAAAATGAACGGGCCGGTAATTGAGCGGCTTGGCAAAACCGGAGCCCAGAAAAAGAAAGCAAAAAAAAAACTCGGCTTTCGGTCGGATCGGTTGATGCGATTATTGTTTTTTCGCGTAAGAATTCGGAACGCGCGGAATGATGCTTCATCCTTTTTTGTTTCCGACTGGCTTTAAAAAAAATGGTTTTCGGTATTGAGGGATTTTCCGCATGATAGTGATAAGGGGTCTTTTCTTTTTTTAATCGTTTCTTTTTTTGTGTGTGCCGATTGTAGAGACGCTGTTGCAAATGGACAGAGACCAGTTGCAGAAGTTGGTGCAGTACCTGATTGCGGAGCATCACACGGAAGTGCTGCCTACGGCGCAGAAGCTGGCCGACGAGATCCTGCGCCACGAGTCCGAGATAAACCGTATTCAAGGTGCGTACGGAAGGCGTCAAAGAACTTGAAATGACGTTGTTTTCGTTGTTCATCATCGCGTAGTCATTCTAGGTTGTTTTTTTTCTAGTAATCTCTTTAGTAATCTTTTTCTAGTGATTCTAGCTTTCTCTTCGTTTTGCACTCTTTAATTTACCGCAAAAAGCCTGAAACGTGGCCTCGCACTAACATCGTCATCTGCGTAAAAGCAAGACCTTGGTGATGCAGAAGACTTTTCAGTCCATTACTCGGAGGGCAGATACTCGAGGAGCCCACGAGGTTCCGCCTAGTTTCCTCGGGGGCTCGGCTAATATTGCAAGAAAATCCGGAAGAAAGAAATGGAAAAAAATAATACAATAATTTACTCGATAAAATGCACAAAGGAAAAACCAGAACGTTAAAAAAACGTTATCTTCCAGATCTTGCGCAGGAAAAGAAAGAAGTGTGAGCGACGCTTCCGTTCTAAAAAAAAAAAACTATTGAATACAACAGTTCGAAATTAACCCTTGGAGATGAATGGAAGTTGTAATCGGAAAATTATCTTCCTTTTGAGCATATAGACTCTTTTACGCTTTGTGATCACCCAAATATTTTACGATTGACATGCGCGTAGTCGAGGACAGGCTGTATACTTGTACAGTATATACAGTATATTTTTCAAATACAAAAAGGGTGTCCAAGAAGATTGAATATGGCCTCATAGGAAAAATATTCGAAGATAAGTCGAACTGTAGTCTCATATTCTGCTGTCTAGCATATGCCTGACGATAAAAAAAATGAACAGAATTGGCCGTTATCCATTACTTAATTCCGACTAGAAAAACAAATGATTTAGGCAACTTAATCTGTTGCTTGATGCGTCGGTTAAATACCTTGGATGAGTCAAGTCGTACCTTCTCAAGTCGAATATGAAAAGACCAACAAATAAACACGACTTGGAGAGGTTTCGAGTGGGGAAAACTGGGACTAATGATGCTTGGGGCTCGAAAAATTGTATTTAGGGGGATTTTTCAAGTGAGGAAGGTTCAACTTAAAGATGTTAGACTGTATCAGCAATAATCTCTTCTTGGTTTTATTTTTTTTTAAACGGGAACTCGATTTCTAAAAATAAAAAAAATCATCAGGTTATGATTTTGTTGGGCCTCTTTTTTCGCGCTGGTATTACGCGTTCGTTATTTTGCCGTTGTGGCCATTTAATTTTCAACATGTTTGCGTACAATTGGGTCGATAATTTACGTGAACACGGAAATCCGCTGCAGGCTTTCAGTTTCATTTTTGCTATTTTTTGCCCGAGAAAAGAAAGGAAGATTCTTGCGAGGTTTTTTCTTCATAAATGAACGGTAATGCAACGTCGATTTCGTTACCGCTATGCAAGTGCGAAATGGAACCAGAGGGAGAATCGGCGGCGTTGAATGAGCGCTTAATCGAATGGAGGCTAATTTCGGTGGCGGCTGGGACTCTCTGGTTCCTGCCGTGACGTCTTGCTTCCACGGACGCCGCCTTTTGGTCTCTGCTGTGCTTTTTTTTTTGCGGGGGGACGGCGTGGGAGTCGTCGGCACACCGTGGCGGCGTTCCGTTTTTCACGGCGTTCCTCCTCTCGTTTAATTTCCTCACATCAGAAATCCCTGCCCGCACATTATTCTTACTGTTTATTTTTTATAGTTTTAGTCCCCTGCTGATTTAATGCGTTGGATTAAACTCCTGCTGCTGTTGCTTCTTCTTTTGATTCGATCCTCCATTGGATCGTGCGAGTGAGGGGTTTAAAAATTGGGCTTTTAAAACTGGTGGACTATCTCTGCAACTATCTTGTCCACAGCGATTTTGTCTTTAGAACTAGTTTTTTTCCTCTTGTCCTAGAGGGTTTCCTCCTCATGTTACGCGGGGTTCTCTGCAGCGGAATTCTCTCTAGTACGAATTTTCCTGGTCCCTTGAATTTCGTTGTGGAGAAAGTCCACGTGTTCAATTTTGGGACGAAATATTGGTGGTACTCGGGTTTCTGAAGCGGATTCATCTAAAATACTCATGAATCAACATCAAAACGTGAGCGAAGCATTATCGCTTTTGCGAGAGACGGTCAATTAATCTTCTTCAGTTATAATCCAAAAATTCCTGTCGTGGGCAACCTTTTAATCGCCGCTGTATTGAAAATATTCAGGACAACGTTCAGATTTACCATCTCCGACACAGTAATTTCTACGATCGGAACACTTTTGACACACTGGTACGTGATTTTCAGATCTGGAACTCATTTCATGAAGGAGGATTTTTCAAATATTCTAAATGCCTCACTGTATTCATATATGTTGGTAATTTAATGACATGCCATGACATGCACCTGGTTGACATTATGTCATCAGGAATTGTGTGTGTGTGTGTACGTTTGATTTTTTACAGCCTCAATCTCTCCTGCGTTTTAACTTCAGACAATCAAATAATGATTCAGCTGTCAAGAAATATTACCGTGTAGAAGTGATGGCCATATACGTGCATTCTTCAAACAAGCGCAGCGCAGATGTTAAAAATTATGAACCATCCCTTGTACAGATAATTTCCATTATTGGTTAGAATAATTTCCCTGTTTTTTTCTTCGTTTTTATATTTATTGAATCTGCGTGAAAAGCCGAAGATTGCGCTTCCAGTCCTTCCACGAGTTCCACGAGGCGTGTTCCCTTCGAAAACGGTTCAGCTAATTGAGTAATGATCAGAGTGCATTTTTTGGGAAGAATCCGGCTCTGTTCTGTACTTCACAGCAGGAAGCTGTGGACTAGTTATTTTGAATTAGTTCGGAATTTGAAATTTGTACAGGTGGATTCTCTTCCGAGCGGTTTGCTCTGCAGGATATCCTCGACCCAACGATTTTCTTTGGGTACTTGGAAAAGCATTTTGTGAATGCATAATCAGCACCGCGGCAACGAAATTGTTAATGCGACGATTTTTCCTCCGAAGTATCGCTTTAGATACGTTCCATCCATATTTTTCAATGCCGTGAAACCAAAAACTGTTTTATTCCTGTAATAAGGGTAGAAACATAGCGGAAATATGTTCGTATTTGATGAGGGAAAACTATAGTGGAATCTGAATTCAAGCTTTAAGGGATGCGGGATTAAAAGCAGCGAGTAAATGCGTAATGATTTGAAACCAAGCGGAACAGTTGCTGTGAAAAAGTACGACGTTATCTTAGTTTTTGAATTGATTTCATTTTTGAATTTTCGTTTCTAAAATCAGCATCAAGTCTTGGATTGGAGTGAACATTTTTTAATCGGTTATTCTGCATCGATGTTATGAATGTGTATCAAGGATTGGTTCTCGATAATATCCAGAGACTGGATGTTCGCAAACGCTAAAAATAAAATAAAAATAACCTTACGCTATGTATGTTCAAATTTTTTTTTGGATTTTCTCTGCATTCCGAATTTTTATGAACGTTAAGATTCACCTGAACAAAAAGATTATCATTTTTCTGCGTTTCAAAAAACCCTGAAGAATCGCTGCCATTTCATCAATTTAACGTTTCATCCCTTGTCCGATGAACTAAGGCAAAGTAACCTGATCGAATTTTCAAGTTCTCTCTTCCATTCAAATGCAAGCATCCGCATTGTACTGTATAATGAACTCCCTGTCATTCAGTTTTTGTGTTGGAATTCGCGGTGAAACGGAAGCTGACGAGAGCTTTTGGACATTGTGGCATTGTAGTGGAGATAAATTCCATGATTCGGTCATCACGATGGCATTACTGTACTGTAAATTGAATATTTCCCCCCTTTTTTTTATTCAGGTGCCCCGGATCCGACTGCGGGATCATCAGCAGAAGCGGAACATTCGTGGCATTTGGACGAAGAACAAGTGTGCGAGCAAGTCCGATCCTACTTGTCTCAAGGCAGCTACTACTCGGCTAATCGGCAACTTCAGGCAATGTTCTCAAAGGTACGTGTCGTGTCTTGCTTTTTTTTTAAATCCCGAATTTAGTCTAATTTTAATATTGTATTGCCTTTGAATGACGCGAATCAACGTCACCATTCTAAAAAATAATGTATTTTACTGCACAGTATCAGTCGTATTTGCCCTGCTTCTGGCGAGTTGTGTGATGTCGACGCGGTGCAAGAGGCAGCTGAGGGCGAAAATAAATTGCCGACTAGGCATGACTTGGCTTTTTTATGCAGTTACGCATTTTCATTTTCTTCATCTGGTACATTTTTTCATATCGAAGGTTCTGCGTCACATTTCAAAAATGACAGTGAAAATTCTTTTTTCAAAAACCGAGAAAATCACATTTTTTATTGCTGAAACAATTAAAATATTTGATGAGTTTCACAACCCTGACGAAAAATCGCTGAAGTAATTATCCATTGTTCAGACATGGCGGTGGACTAAAATATGGATGTTTAAAATATCCTGGAAGCATTCAATTAACTACGTATGCTATAATTATGGAATGCAACTGTATTCTTGCCATGGTGTGAACGACAGTGTAGTACAGCACATTAATATTTGACGGTAATGCCTCTGGGTTTTATCTTTGCCTCTATTAAAAATATTAACTACGTATGCTATAATTATGGAATGCAACTGTATTCTTGCCATGGTGTGAACGACAGTGTAGTACAGCACATTAATATTTGACGGTAATGCCTCTGGGTTTTATCTTTGCCTCTATTAAAAATGTGAGTGTTTATTGATTTCGAATTTGTCTGCTTTTCATTATTGTTGATATCAAGAGATTGGATTTTGATGTCTGAAAAGTAGGTGGATTAAAGTTTGAGTGGAGAAAATATGCCTCAGTTTCTATGCATAATTCTGTACTTCTCAGCACGACAAAAGCACATTAACTTGCTCACGGTTCCAACCTTGCTGACGTAAATAAACTCTGGAAAGGTATGAAGCTTTAACGCTTTTGATTGATTTGGGCGAGTCGAGATTGAAATTTTGCCCGGAAGGACGAAAAAAATGGAGAAGAATACCTCGATCACCTCTCACGCTTTTGAATGCATAACCTTTTCATTTCACCTTGTCCGGAAAGGCGGTGATTGTTCTCGGTTTGGTGAGACGAAAAAAACTTTGATTGTTTCTTGATAAATTGTTAGGACAGTCAATTCTTGAATTTCGGAAGAGAATGTTGTTTTTACTTTTACTACCCTCAATCTTTCGGAAGAGATTGCAGTTTAGTCTTGCATGTGAGACACTTTGGTACTTACCTCGTTTCCGAGTTTGATATGAGAGCACTGTTCAAGTGAGCCGCTTAAGCTTTTAAAATAGCTCAACCCCTGATTGACTATTTTTTTTTTTTCAGGTGAGAGAAATGCTTCGAGCTCGTGACTCAAACGGCGCTCGGATGCTGACTCTCATCACTGAGCAATTCCTGGACGATCCTCGCCTTTTGCTCTGGAAGTCGCAAGGCACCTCAATGACCGACAAATTCCGCCTGTTATGGGATCAACTCGGAACCCTCTGGGTCTGTGTCGTCCTCAACCCCAAGTGCGAAACCCAGGAGAAGCAAATGTGGCGCAAACTTCTGGATCGTTGGGCCCGGGTTCAGGTCTGCCCGCTGGAGGATCCCGACCACCGACCGCCGCCGGCGTCTCAGTCAGGATCCCAGCAAAACGGCGGCGGGAACGGAGCACCCGGCGCCAGTGGAGCCGCCTCTCAACGTCCGCCGCAACTGAGGTTGAGCTCATTCGGATTACGGGTGTCGGATACGAGTGATGCCGAAGAGGACGAGGACGACGAAGAGGAAGAACGAGACGGATCCGGAAGTAATAATTCCGCGTCTTCGGATGAAGAGGAGCATGAAGAACGCTTGTCGTACTTGAGAGGGAAGCGGAAGACGCGTCAGACGACTGCAGAAGAGCGGAAGCGGAAACGGCGTCGAAGAGTGCGGCGTCGCGGCCACGGTAGCGATGGAACTTTGACGAAACATGTCCCTCGCACCGTCTTCCATCGGTGATTATTATTTATTTTTATCATTTCTTTGGTCTCGGAACGATTTAATTCACCCAAGGAGGCTTCATGAGTTTTAATGTTCAATTATTCTCGCTGCATCACCGACTATTTTTTTCTACCGCACCCGTACTATTTGGGGCATATGCAGTAATTTTGCTTAATCACATTTCATTTGTTTGCCTCAACAAGATGTCTTATGCAAAGATTTATATTCCAACTATTTTTAGAATTTATGTTGCTTAATTTACTCCTATTTTATTCATGTGCGTATATTTTATCTAATTTTTATATTACTGTATTTATGCTTCTACGGTATTTTCATTTTCTAATTTTACTTCTACTGTAAAGTATTTACTTTGTGTGAGAAGCTATTTCGATGCATCATCACACCTCATGTATTTGCACTTTTAGATTTTTTTGCATTGCTTCATTTTTGTTTGTTTGATCGGCGGAAAATGTGTCGACAATTTTTGAGAATGTCGCGAAAATTTGTATGAGAATTTCTCATTCAGGAAAATTGTGACACTCCACCGCATACTTTGGTTCGAATTATTTAATTCCTTTCTCGCATTTATCGTCGTTGAGAGAGGTAACATGTGAAGTACGAATTAAAATTTATTTTTTGAAAGCTAAACTTAATTTCCACGCATTGCTCTTAACTTGAAAACAAATTCGAGCTATTCACAGTTCTTCGATTTTGCTGGATTTAAGCGACTGACAAAAAAAAAAAAAAGAGATGATGACAGAAGATTGCGGCATTACCGAATAGAGCTAATTATTAATTACCGTTTTGCCTTGAACGTTGCTGAAGGAAGAACACGTGAAACTAAAATTCACCGTTTGTTTTCCAGGGCATTGGACGCCGTCAGGCTCGATTGGGGAGACGCGCATTTGCGGAGCATCTTGTCGTCCACCTCCATGGACGACAGTCCAGCAACCCGAGATTCAGAAGGAGCTTCCTCATCCAACTGGTACAACATCCATGGCCAGCCCATCTGGTCCTCTGAAGACGTGCCGACAGCCGCGGCACGAGTGGACGCCTTGCGAGCCCACGGGTACACCCGTGAAGCCCTCCGGCTCGCCGTTGCCGTGGTTCGTTCTATGAAGGTGCGTAGTTACAGATACCCTACTCAAGTTCAAAAGTCATTATTGTGTCATGGAATCAAGTTTGAAATAACTGAGCAAAAAATATCATTTGATTCTACTCGGGTTGAGTGTCCAAAATTCCAAGTAAAATACTTCAAAGCTAAGCGTTTTATTTTTTGAAAAGATAAATCAATAAAAATTGGGACTTATTGGCTCGATATGAAAATCAGTTCCTGCTTTTGCTTCGAGTTACGCGAATTGCAGCCGGGTAGGCTCTACCTTTTGAGGTAATTCATCTCTCTTTGACCCATGAAAGTTATTTTAGTGTCATGCAAACAAGTTCGAATAAATTAAA